CCTACGTGCTGAGGCTGGGCGGCCTACGTGCCACGGCTTACATGCCGAAGTTGTGACCGTTCAGGCCGGCCGCCCTTCTTGGGGGTCCATGTTGTTTGATTCTTACACCCGCTAGAATTATTACTGCCCAGAGGGTGAGGGTTTTGGCCCCTGCGCACCGATTACTACACCCTTCATCCCTCGTGTGCATACGGGTTTGTTTTCTTTGGCCGCCCTGCCTCATCCTCCTTGTGGTCTCGATAGGCGCTCGGCCTTTGTCTATTGCTTCCACCCTGCGGCTTCTTGTACCGGAGGTGGCGGTTGGGGGGCCCATAGGTCTGGCCGTCAACCCCAACAACAACAACAACAACAACAACAACAATTACTAGCACGTGGGGACACTCCGTTCTCACCAGTGCCAGGGTTTTCATAGGAGGCGGGCAATACCCCCACTTTGTGGGGGGGCCGGTTCAAGCTCTACCAAATTTCCAAACGACTCTTCGCCACCACCCACACCCAGCTTCCCGCCCTATGACGTTCGGACACTTCACTTCGTGGCATGCGGACGACCGTGGCTACTATTCAGGGCCCCGCGGCCGACGACGACGGCGTGCGCGCGCGAAGAAAAAACGAATGTGTCCCGCATGGTATTATTTGACAGGGATGATGGCCCTGGCAGGTGCGCAACCGTTGTCGCAGAAGTTCGAAAAAGTTGCTCGCAAAAGCCCGTTTGACAGAAATGTTTAAAAAGTGTTGGGTTTCCTACGAATCCGCAAGAGCGCGCGGGATGAGATTTTGACAGTTTTTTGTTGAAAAACCATTGGTTTTTTGATGTTTTTATGTTAAAATCGCTGCGAACACTAAGGTTTTGGAAGGATTTCGTCTTGCGCGCGCGAATGTCCACTTTACCTTATTTTTTGCAAGGGATTCTTGAAATTTGATTATATTAGAACAAGAAATGTCATTTTCTATTGTTTTTTGCAAGGGAAAGCGGATTACAACAAAACAACCGGATCCTGTACACACCCTCTTTTCTGAGGCTTCCTCACGAAAATGATGAAAATGTAGCTGCGGCCTAGGCGGCGCAGGGGGGGCGCGCACCAGGGGGCCCAACAATAATTATTCTTTAGAATAAATAATGTTCAACAACAACAAGAACAACAACAACAACAACAACAACAACAACAACAACAACAACAACACCACCACAAACCACCAACAACAACAACAACAACAACAATAACAACAACAACAACAACAACAACATCGTACATCCCCGAGGTGTGCCCACTGTTCTGCCCAAGTCGGGGACTTGGCCACCATACCCCCCGTTATTTTCTTAGTAGTTGCATTCGGAGGTCCAGCAGCCGTCCACATCAGGGCGCTTCCCGCGGGCGTGTTCTGGCCAGATGGAGCGTGGAGCGGGAGCGCAGCCTTTGGCGACGAGAAACCCCGTAGGATGCTCGAGAAGATCGACAACCTCCCGAAATCCTTGGTCCTTGAACTGGTAAGGCTTTGAGCTGCGCGCAGACAACATCCCCATGTAGTCCCGGCTGGTCTGGACAGGCCACCCGAGTAGCCTTGTGGCACGTCATGCGAGGTTCAATCCAGCAGCGGCGTTTGTATATTATATACTTGTATGTGTTGTAATACATATATATATATATATATATATATGTCTGTGTGTATCCGCGGACGAAGACTGTCCTACCCCAGCCGAGTCCCGATTATCCTGGCTCAGTCCTGGGCTCAATCCGGCCTGGTCCGGCCGAGCGACCTCCGAATCGGACTTGCGGCTTGCCTCAGAGGTTCACCTGTTACCACGAAGACCCCCCAGGAGTTGAGTCCAGACGGACGCCTCGGCCCTGAGGCCCAGGCATCCGATGTCTTGATCTTCTGGTGCGAGGAGGAGGAGGAGGAGGAGGAGGAGAAGGAGGAGGAGGAGGAGGAGGAGGAAGAGGGCCGCCTGGAGTCCCGGCCCCCTTGCCCAGGGCTGGGGTTTCATCCCAAGTCCTCTTTTGCCAGTGCCTGGGCCCAGCGAGGGCTCCCCGAGGTCGACAACGGCGAAAAGCCACAGTCTTGATCTGTTCGAGACGTTGGATTTCTGGGGCCCTCGAGCCTCGGATGCCTCTGCCCCGAGAGTCCGAGGCATCCACCGCCTGCAGAACCGATCTTCCTGAACCCCACCAGGGGATTCTCCTTAAGTGCATCCTGTGGATGGAGATCGAGATTTTCGCCAGCGTAGGCCCCAGCGGTAAGTCATTTATACTGTTGACGTGTAAGCTCTGAGGTGCAACATGAGGTACAAGCTAGTGTGGTGCAGATGATGTGGCGCTAGATATGCTGAACAAGTTATGTGGCCAAAACTATGTGATGCAATGTACGTGGCGCAATCTACTTGGTGCAGGCCATGTTGTGCAAGCTATGTGGTGCAAGCTATGTGGTGCATGCTATGTTGTGCAATCTACGTGGTGCAGGCGACGTGGTGCAAGCTGTGTGGTGCAAGCTATGTGGCGCAGGCTTGGAGGCGCAAGCCATCCGGTGTGAGCGCCTGCTGGGTGCAGCCTGCGTGGCGCACGCTGTCGGGGCGCCCACGAGGCGCCCCTGGGGCGTCCCCTGGGCGGGCACCAGGCGAAGCCTCGGCTTGCTCCTCCGGCGCGGGGCGCCCACGAGGCGCCCGCGGCGGGCACGAAGCAGAACCTCGGCCCCCCCCCCCCCCCGCAGCCCGGGGCGCTCGCCAGCGCCTACGAGGCGCCCGTGGGCGGACCAGGCGCAGCCTCGGCATGACCCCCCCCCCCCCCAGCGCGGGGGCGCCCACGAGGCGCCCACGGGCGCCCGTCGGGGGCAGCCCAACACCCGGAAGAAGTAAGAAGTCGTAAGTGCAAGCAATGTTTGGGGAACATGTATATATATACATATATGTTTATGTGTATGTGTATGTATTTATGTGTGTATATATATATGTACATGTATGTATACATATACATTTATACATATATATGTATGTATATCCGTAAGGGCTTCGCCCCATGCCGCCGGCCCCCTGTCTCGGATGATGGGAGATGCACAAGCTGAATTATGAGGTCTGGGCGCCGCCGTCGGGACCTGTTTGTTTTTCGAGCCTGACCCTACGGATCTGCGTGGGGTGCCACCGAATTTCAGAAATTTGGCAAATCCCATGTGTTTTTTTGACCCTGACCCTACGGATCAGCGTGAGGGGTGCCGCCGAATTTCAGAAATTTGGCAAATCCCCTGTGTTTTTTACACCCTGACCCTGTCGTTCCGCGTGAGGGGTGCCGCCGAATTCCAGAAATGTCACAAATCCCATATGTTTTTGCACCCTGACCCCGCCGATCTGCGTGAAGGGTGCCACCGAATGTCACAAATGTTGCAAATCCTATGTGTTTTTGGACCCTGACCCCGCCGATCTGCGTGAGGGGTGCCAGCAAATGTCAGAAATGTCACAAATCCCATGTGTTTTTCCACCCTGACCCCGCCGATCTGCTTGAGGGGTGCCATCGAATGTCATAAATGTTGCAAATCCCATGTGTTTTTGGACCCTGACTCCGCCGATCTGCGTGACGGGTGCTAGCATATTTCAGAAATGTTGCAAATCCTTCGTGTTTTTGCACCCAGACCCCGCCGATCTGCGTGAGGGGTGCCACTGAATGTCAGGAATGTCGCAAATCCCTAGTGTTTTTGGACCCTGACCCCGCCGATCTGCGTGAGGGGTGTTAATTTTTGCTTACCCCAGCAATTCAGACAACACGTTCAGGGCGTGCTAAACCTGCCCGTTTGGGCCTCCCCCCCTCGCGCGGTCCATCAACACGGAACAGTAAGCAGCAAGAAGCAGAATTGTAACAGTGGAAATTGGAAGCTGCAATTGGCACAGGAAACTGCGAGCCTTCGGCCTGCAGCCTGGTGGCCCCACAAGGGGGCCGGCGGATATATAGATCTATGTGTATGTATGCGTAGGTATATATGCATGCATGCATGCATGCATGCATGTACGTGTGTGCATGTATGTATGTATGTATGTATGTATGTATGTATGTATATATGTATGTATGTATGTATGCATGCATGCATGCATGCATGCATGCATGCATGTGTGTATGTATGTATGTATGTATGTATGTATGTATGTATGTATGTATGTGTGCGTGTGTGTCTGTATGTATGTATGTACGTATGTATGTATGTATGTATTTATGTATGTATATATGTATGTATGTATATATGTATGTATGTGTATGTCTGTGTGTGTATGTATGTATGTATGTATGTATGTATGTATGTATGTATGTGTGTGTGTATATATGTATGTATGTATGTGTGTTTGTATGCATGCATGCATACATGCATACATGCATGTATGTATTTATGTATGTATGTATGTATGTATGTATGTATGTATGTATGTACGTATGTACGTATGTACGTATGCACGTATGTACGTATGTACGTATGTACGTATGTACGTATATGTATGTATGCATGTATGTATATATGCATGTATGTATGTATGCATGTATGTATGTATGTATGTATGTATATATGTATGTATGTATGTATATATTTATGTATTTATGCGTGTATGCACATACGTACGCATGTATGTATGTATGTATGTATGTATGTATGTACGTACGTACGTATGTATGTATGTATGTATGTATGTATGTATGTATACATATATACACATGTATCAACATCCAGTTTTCATTGGGGCCTAAATCCTTCCGTATCCACCGCCCCCTGGGGCCCCTTTCTACCCTTGGATAAGTCATGCAACCATTGGTTCAATTTCTTGCCCTGCCCTCATGGACGCCCGATCTCAACGTTGAGTCGGCCGTGGCCGACGGCGAACAGTTCGGATAGCGCGGCGCTCCGAGCGAACGTTGCAATTAAGGGGCGCGGGGAGACGCATTGTGCGCGAGAGTTGCATCGCTTTTCCACGGGGTGCAGGACATCAGTTTCCCAGGCGGTGGATCTGGATAAACCAACCGCCTCGCAGAGAGGCCCCACCGCGCCGCCGAGCCGGGCGGGCACGCGGTGCCCCAGCGGCGCGTCGGCCGCCTTCGACGAGGCGCACGCCGCGGTGCTGCAGGCCCTCGCCGTCGTTGGCGGCGGCGCCGTCGTTGGCGGCGGCGGCGCCATCAAGGAAGTTCTCCTCCTCGTCCTGCTTCTTATTATGCTTCATCTTCTTCTTCTCCTCCTCCTCCTCCCCCTCCTCCTCCTCCTCCACCCAAGTCGCCACTTTTGTTCCGCCGCGCGGGGCCTGTTCCACCCAAGTCGCCACTCTGGCCCAGGCTGGCGGTGGAGCGAGGGAGGCGCTCGGTGCCTGCTGGCCCCGCCCGGTCTCCACGCCGTTGAACAGAAACATCGTCGGCGGCATGGCAGGTTTCGAGTTTGCTGGAATGTGTGCCCGCTGCACATGCCACGTACTGCGGTACGGGGCGTGAAAACGACCACAGCCACTGCTTTTCTTTTGTTGCCGCCTTCCAGCCAGCAGAAGCAAAGCAGTTGTTGTGGTCATTTTCGTTAAGCTTGGCACCAGGGAAATGACCTCAACCACTGCTTCTTTTTCGGCCGGCTGGAAGGCGGCGTAAACAAGAAGCAGTGGCTTTGGTCATTTTCCCGTCCCGCATGCGGGGCGCCTCGAACACGACGCGTCCTTGCATATGCCTCCCAGGAGCGCCTGCCGCGGAACGAGAGCGACCCCCAGCGCAGAGGGCCAGCCCATTCCGTGCCGTGTGCTGGGCTTCGCCGGACGCCGTTGCCGATGACGTCCCAGGGCGCAGTGTCACGTGCAGGGCAGAGCTGGTGCCCAAGATGAGCAAGTCGAGCACGACGAAGAAGATGAGCACTCGGATCAGCTGCCGTTGCTCATTCCAGGCCGGGGTGTGGTGCTGGTTTGCAGCGCATTCGCGTTCTCACCGGCAACAGTCGGCTGCATGAGCTTGCCTATTGCAGGTCGCTTTGTGTAGTGTGTTCTGGTTTGTCTGGTGGTCTTTTGATTCGCATCGCAACTGCCGTCTCGTCGCGCTGAGCAGGGATGGGTGCGCTCCGTACCCTTCCTGTGGAGCAGCAGTTGCATATAAACACGCGGGACCATCTGGTCGACCGCCACTTCGAGCAGCCGAAGGAGCCGAAACCATCCGCAAGTCCGCCACGGATAAAGTGGTGGCTACAGCTCGAGACATCTGCCACTCGAGCCGCCGAAGGAGCCGAGCACATCCGCAAGCGCCATGCGGCCACATCTCGAGGCGTCTTGCGCGACGCCAAGGGGCGAACTGGTCGCCACGGCGAGGGCCGAGGCAAAAAGCATCGTCGCAACCAAAAGTGCGCCCGCGCCAGCGCCGAGCAGCAGGAGAAACGCATTGAGGAGGAGGAGGAGGAGGAGGAGGAGGAGGAGGAGGAGGTGGAGGTGGAGGAGGAGGTGGAGGAGGAGGAGGAGGAACGCACGGAGCGTGCGGTGGCGAACCTCAAACAGTTTGGCCGAGGCGGAGCGGACCGGGCAGCGCTCTTCTTGCAAGACGGACTTGGGTGGCGCAAGTTACCCAAGGGCCCGAGACTGCCCACGCTCGGGCAACCAGACTCGTCTGCGCGACCACGCTGGACGATTCCAGGCTTTCCGTGCCGACCCTCTGGGCCCTGGCAACCGAGTTTTGGCGCTTTGTTCTCCAACTGTGGCGGGCTGCACCAGGACGGAGATCTTGACCAAACGGCCTGTCAAGACCTGCGCCGAGTTGTGCCCCAACGCTGGCAGATGAAGCTACCTCAAGTCTGAAGGCGAAGTCCTCCTGGACGGCAAATCGGTCGTCCAAGGGTTCTTTTGGCCCGGCAGCATCCGAGCCATTGCAATTCAGCATTGGTACTGCGCGGAGAAAAACCAGTTCAACGCTGTCATCCAGGGCAAGGTCGATGACATGTTCGAGTCCAGCGCATCGGAGCGGCGGAGTTCTGGATGCCTAGATCCCTTGGAAAGCTCACAACAAGAACACATGCAAGGTGGTCAGCTGCAATGCGCGCCCCCCCGCCGGCAGCAAGCCCAAGCAGCGCAAGCGCAGTGTGCAGATCCTCCAGAAGTACACGCAGGCGGTCGCATATAACCTTGTGTATGAGTCCCACAGCGTGCAGGAGGAGCGCGCCGGCGAGGTCAACCGCATGCCCTACAGCTACAGGGCCTTCCTCTCCCCCTGCCCCAGATTGGGCCGCTGGCGGAGCGGCCGTGTTGGCACCGTCCAGATCCACCCATCAGCGTCGAATGATTCCTGCCGGCGAGCACCCGATACACGACTTCTGCGAGGTGGCCGCTGGCCGTTCGGCCTTGCTGCGCATCGCGGATCCCAAGAAAGACTCTTGCGAGCATCGCCATCATCCACAACTGCGCCCTCACCGCGAAGGACCGCCGCTCGGTTGGCTGAGCATGGAGGCGCGGTATGACTTGGGCCTCGGCTGCCCCGAACTGGCGAGGGGCTGTCGATGGTGGCGACCGCCGCGTTGCGAATGCGCCATCTGACGCAAGTGATGCGACCTCGGACTTTCAAAATCGCGCCCAGCGGGGCGAGCCTGAGCTACGGCGCGCAAACGGCGGCGGCCGCTGAACTGGTAATCGGTTGCAGCCCGGACGGTGGCAACCACTCGTCGACGGCTCGTTCGAGACTGCCTCGGACCTCGAGACGCATTTTACAAAGGGTCACCCGCAAGCAGCTCCACGCCGGGCAGCACGTTCCTGTGCCTGGCGCTCCACGCGGTGAGCCCGTGCTCCGCGGCCGCGCAGGCGGCCGAGGAAGTCGCGGCGGCCAGCGACTGAAAGGTCAGTGGCCACGCCCCGCTCGCGCTCGCGATCGCGTTGAAGGCGACGGCGCCCGCTGTGGCGCATGGCACATCCCGTGCTATATCTTTCGGCACTGGTTGCTAGATGAACCACTGCGAGTCGCTCCTCCGGGACTCGCGCTCCATGGTCGGCGCGGTCTACTCCAAGCTGGCGGGCGTGGGGCACGCGATGACACTGGCAGCGCAGCCTGCTTTCACCTCGAGCTCCAGAGGCCTCTGCTCTTCAGCGCCGGCGGCAGCGCCGAGGAGGCCCACCGGCTCATCCTGCGGAGCACCGCCCGTGCGGCCTGGAGGGGGGGCGCTCGCCGGGGCGCGCGGCCGCTGGCCGCTGAGCTGGGGCAGACGCACCTGGGCACGAGGAGCGGTGCCCCCCATGCCGAGGATAGCGCCCACGCTGCCAACGCCTCCAACGTCACGAGCGCGCAGCGGACTGAGGCCGGGCGGGGCGAGGCGGCCCAGCAGCCTCAGCGAGGAGGCCAGCGGCCTTGCCGGCTGGGCCCGCCGCCTCCGCGCCTGCCGCCCGCTGCCGCGCAGCAGCTCGAGCTGCGGCGCCCCTCGGGCGGGGCGGGGGCGCGCGGGGGCTCGCTGCCAACGAGGTGCAGAGCCGCTCCCCGTCGCAGCCGGCGGACCCCGCCCTGGCGCGAGGGATGCTCCCAGCGCGGCGCGGCCGCTCGCGGAGCGCTGGACGCGCAGCGCTGGCGGGGCTTCGCCATCGCCCTCCGGTCGAGAACGAGCGGGTCGCCCGACCGTCGCGGGCGTCAGCCGATGGCCTCGGCAGGTTGTCCTGCGGTGCCCGGGCGGAGTCCGAAGGCGCACGCGAGCTCGTGCATCTTCGGGCTGACAGCGGCCGTCGCGAGCGGCTCGCGGGCCCCTTCGTTCGAAACATCCACGGCAATCTTCCTTGCGGGCCGCAGCCCGACTTCTTCAGTAGTCATGCCGACCTGGCGGGCGCCAGAGAACATGGGGTCTGCGCGGGCGACGCAGACGCCGTCACCTCGACCATGGCGCAGCGGGGCTCGTTCGTCGAGCCGTTCGAGGCGGCTCGCGTGCTGGCTACCATGGCCGCGCAGCCCGCCAAGCGGAGCGCGCCTCGGCTGCGGGGCGTCTGCGATGCTGCAGGCTGCCTGGCGACCCAGGCCTGACTGGCGGCCGTCGCCCCCTCATCAGTGTCGCGGGCAGGCCAACCACCTCGGGGTCATGATGGGCGCAGGGGTCCATCATCCTCCTCTTCCTCTTCTTCTTCTTCTTCTTCCTCCTCCTCCTCCTCCTCCGCCTCCTCCTCCATTTCCCCCCCTCCTCCTCCGCCTCCTCCTCCTCCTCCTCCCCCTCCTCCTCCTCCTCATCCTCCTCCTCCTCCTCCGCCTCCGCCTCCGCCTCCGCCTCGGCCTCCGCCCCCGCCTCCGCCTCCGCCTCCGCCTCCTCCGCCTCCGCCTCCGCCTCCTCCGCTTCCTCCGCCTCCTCCGCTTCCTCCGCCTCCTGCGCCTCCTCCGCCTCCTCCTCCTCCTCTTCCTCCTCCTCCTCCTCCTCCTCCGTAGCCATTTTGGCCCAAGATGATTTCGCCCCGTGGCAGAGCACGGAGACCCTTGGTCCAGGGACAGCTAAGGACACGCTTTCATATCCTCGCCCTCCTGCTGCCCAGCGGGTTGAGCTTCATATTCGGCGCTGCATTCGCCTGCAGACACCTATACGCGCAATGCGCAGAGGCTGGCGCGGGCCTCAGATCGTCGACGTGGGTCCTCATGGAGATTGCCTGGCCAGCGCTGCATCGACCCCTCGTGACGGAGCCACAGATCCAGTCCAGCGACAACAAGACAATTGGCATGACAGCGCCTCCAAACTTGCCGTTCACGACCTTCCAGCACATGTTCGGAAGCAGCTCGAGGAGACCATGGCCGCCCAGATCAAACATGCCACCGAAAAGTTCGAGGCCGCAGCCAAAGCAGTCACAGCAAAGGCCAGCTCAGAGTTTCTTGCCTCGCTCACGCAGATCACGTCCGACCTCGGCAGACGCCACGAAGCCACAGAGCGCGACATCACCGCAGTCAAGCTCCGCACCAATGCCCTGGAAGAGCAGAACTCCGAACTCAAGTCCGCCGTCGCCAAGCTGGAGTCGATCATCACAGCAGCTGAAGCACGCGCTCCCGCCTTCAACCTTGACGGCTTGGGCAGCTGGGACCGCGACCCCGACATCACCTCAGGAATTTGGACAGCAACACCTTGAAACAAGCTCTCACCCCATGGTTCCAGGCCGCCAACATCAAGAAGGACATGGTCATCTTCAACACGGTCGGCCCCTCCAAGCGCCACTCTTTTCAGGTCAGCGGTGGCACAGCGGTGGCGGAACCTCGGGCACAACGTCTTCGCAAAGGATTGGCGCACATTTACTCTCGATCTTGGTAATGATACATACGTTCCTCTATATGTCTCCGCCGACAAGAGCCCGAAGGCCGTCCGCACGGAGGCCCAGATCAAGCGCCTCGCCAAAATCACGCAGAACATCAAGCCAGACCTCGATGCACGCACACACAGAACCCTGGCCTACATATCGTACCGTGGCGAAGCTATGGTGCGCCTTCTTGTTGGCGGCAATGCTGACGTACCTACTAAGCTCCAATGGTCACAGGCCGCCAACAGACATGGAATTACCGAAGACGACCAGAAGCAGATCGCCGCCGAGTTCACCCGCAACTTCGCAGACCCCCTCACTGCCGCGCAGTGGCTTTAGTCTTCGTTGGAGCCCATGGCTCCTGAAGCCCTCTCAGGGGGGCCTGAACATCGCCATCTGGAATACGCGAGCTCTTCTTGGACACTCCGACCTGCGCCGCGCCGACAAACGACAGCAGCTTCTACCGTACTTTCGCCAACGAGCTCTTATCGCAGTGCAAGAGACACATGGGACCCTGGACGACCTCAGGCTGCTGGCGAACTCTACCCAGCATCGGTACAAAGCTTTTCACTCGCCCGTGATAGTAAACAGCGCTCCTGTGGCTAACGCTGGCGGCATTGGCTTCCTCGTTCCTTACGACAAGGCGGAACTTCAACTTCCTCCAGATGAACGGCCTCATCGCAGGTTCGAGGTCGCCATCCCTGGCCGAGCTGCCCGGCTTCGGACCACGGATGCCAGCCTCCAGCGCGAAGTCACTGTTCTCAACATCCACAACTTCGGCCTGACTCCAGCAGATCGGCTTCTCTTACGAGACCATTGGCACGCTCTACGCCAACATGCTGATGAAGTCCCACAGCAGCGGCTTCTAGTCATCGCCGGCGACTTTAACGTCTCCGAGTTCCCGCCCCGATCGATTAACACGCCTGTCGACTCAGACACCACAGCATCACAGCGATATCAGTACCAACCTGTCTCCTGGCGCAACCTGTTCCGCGACGTCATCGAGATTGCGACTCCCTCGACGACGCACAGATCTGAGGCTAACAGAAACGAATCGACTATTGACCGCTGCTTCATCAACTTGCCTAGCCACCTCATGCCGTTCATGGAAACTGTCTACATCGCCGACGACGCTCCCCTCGAGAAGCCCAAGGGCCCCGTCAGCGACCACAAGATCATGCACCTGCGCGTCCGCCTCCGCAAGCCCAAGACGGTCACCGAGCGCGGCATCCCCGCGTACATTTTCGACACTGACCACTACAAGCACCACATCTCCAAAGTGCTCGCCACAGTTGACATGTCTGTCCTCACTCCCGCAGCGCGCTGGAGGGCCTTGAAGGCAGCCATGAGAGTTGCCGCTGCCAGAGCCCGTGACACGCTTCTCAAGATCCCAGCCGCCGAACTCTCATCACAAAATGCTACTGTCAAAAAGGAAACCAGGGCCATGACGCTACGCAGCATCGCCAGAGCCGTATGGTACCAGAACGTTCCCCTCGCCCAGACTTTGATCGACAACACCGACATCGGCAAACTGCACTTGAAGATCGACGGCCGCTCCGTCAGCATCAACGACATGCACGACTTCTCCTCGACCGCCGACGCCACGCACGCGAGCCTCAGCGACGAGCGCAAGGCCTCTCGCGAGCCGCTTTCGCCGCCAACAATGTCCCGCTCGGTCAGAAGTGGCGCCAGCGTGCCAAACGGGAAGGCCTCCGCGGCGAGCTTTGGAAGCCATTCTCCAAGCGGCTCGTCCTGGCGGGCATCAAGATCATCGCAGGCGGCGTCACCAACATCGTCTCCGACCCTGCGACGATGCACCAGGCCATCATGCGCCACTGGGCCCCCGTCTTTGCTGCAAAGCATGTCCCCGAAGATGCCCTCTCCGACTACCTCGACTCGATCTTCCCCAGACGTGCGCTCACCCACCTCGACCTACCTGACGCCCAGGCTCTTGAGAAGGCCGCTCGCCTGGCTGGCGACTCTGCACCAGGACCAGATACACTACCTTACAAAGCTTGGCTACGTACTCCCGACAGCTTCGACATCCTCGCCGACTTCTGCCGTGACATCGCCACCAGGCGGGCACCACCTCACGACCTCAACTACTCCCTCATGGCCATGCTACCGAAGGGCGACGAGCCCTGCGGCAATGCCGAGTGCACCCGTGTTCCAGAGTGCCTACGCCCGCTTTCAATGAAGAGCTCGGATGTGAAGCTGATGGCATCTGCCGCCAACCGGCAGCTTCACGCCCTCGCAGCCGAGACGTCCCCCGAGCAGCAGGGATTCGTCAACGGCCGCCAGTTTTTGCGTAACGTCGTCGTGGTCGACGCCGCCGCTCGACGTCACAGTCTCTCACCTAATGCAGCTACTGACAAGCCCGTCTTCGTCAGCATGGACATCGCGGCCGCCTTCCCCAGCCTCGGCCGCCACTGGATGTGGAATGTTCTCCAGCGTTGGGGCATCCATGGACACATGCTACACCTGCTTCAGGCTTGCTACCACTGGCCCGTCTCCTACCTGGACCTGGGAGGTGCACGCCGCCCCCTCTTGATCGCAGCATCAGGAGTCGCTCAGGGATGTCCGTTAAGCGGCACGATCTGGGCACTCGTCTTCGACCCCGTCATCAGAGCCCTCACCAGCGAGCTCTCAGCCATCGAGCGCGGTCTGGTAAGCGCATGTGCTGACGACCTCGGCATCATCAGCGCGAGGCTCGCAGACATCAGCAAGCTTGCGCCGCACATCATTGCGGTGGAGACTCTCGCGGGCCTGTGCCTCCAGGCCAAGAAATGCATCGTGGTCCCGACCTGGGCGCTGCCCACTCAGGACATCATCGCAGAGATACGTCAAGTACTTGCTGCCGCCCGCGCTCCCTGGGCCTCCTTCAAGGTTGAGTCCAGTGCCCGCTACCTTGGCTTCTTTGTCGGCCCTGGCGCCACTCTTGATGACCAATGGCGCGGCCCTGCTGTCAAGTGGTGGGACCGCATTGAGAAGCTAGCCGCGTCCCATGCCCCTATTCAGCAGAGCATCAAACTTTACAACGTCGCTGCCGTCACGGTCCTTGGCTATGTAGGCCAGCTGTTCGAACCCTCGGTGGGCATCCTCCAGAAGGAGCTGCAGGCCATCCATAAGTTGCTGCGCGTCGCCCCGTCCAGCTTCGCGAAGTCTGACATCCTTGCGATGTCCCTCTGGACCAAAGCTGAGGTCCCCATTGGCATCGAGAACTACCTGGCGGCCACTATGCGGCGTACTGCCACCACCACGGTGGCAGAGTGGCGCGACGCAGCCAACGCGCTCTGCGACGCCGCGTGCGAGCAGCTCCCCCTCGTCACAGCGCAGCGCGGCCACTGGTGCAGCGAGTGCTGGTCCATCAAGACGTCCATCGTCCAACGCTTCGAGCACATCACCAACTCCACCTTCTTCCCCGACTGCAAGGGCTCCCACTTAAAGAGGCTGACCCGCACAGCTGGCCCTCTTCCTCGCGCTCGAGCCGCTATGATTGGCATCCATAAGCGAGCCGCTCGTGCTGGAATGCAGGCTCTTCTACAGCAGCAACATGAACTGCGCCGCCGCCGAGCTACACAGACCACGCCGCAGAAGGCCTACATGACGTCCCTCAACGAGCAGCTCTACACCGACACGATGGCAGACACCATAAAGCGGCGTCTCCTGTCCTGGTTCCCGCCCCTCGACCCTGCGAGGTCGTTCGCCAGGGAGCCTCTCAGCGGGCCTCGCCGAAACGCCGAAATCGCACAAGAACGTCTGGCAGACCGCGCTCGAGCGTGGGCTGCCCACTGGCTACCCGACATCCTGCTCAATGACCGCACGATCGACAACCACTCAGACTGGATGCAGTGGTGCACGGAGTACCTGTACGAGCTCCTCGGCTCCGAGACCTTTCGCCCGCTTTACGCCACCTCCACCCGCCGTCGACAGATCGCCATCGACATGTGCCAGCAAGCATGGGACAGCAGTGGCACTGGCAGAATCCTCCTCGAACACCGTCTCTCAAGAACACGGACCCGCTCAGATGAACCGAGCAGCCTGATTTCGCTACACCAGCATGAAGCTGCCCAACATCGTGCCCGCCGCCGCTGGGTCGCCAATTTTCTCCCGTGCCAACTGCCCGACTCCGACATCAGTGATGTCGACGTCCCCGAGGGCGACGAAGACCCTCCCGATGACGAAGACGGGCCGCCTGATCTTCTTCGTCTCCAGCGGGTTCCCGCTGACCTACCAGCTCGCTGGAAACGTCTGCGCACCTACCTGGCAACGCAACCGCCCGCGCGGATGTGGGCCACAGTGAAGGCCCTCGCGGGCGCCTGGACCACCAGCTACCGCATGCATGTCATCCAGGACAAGCGCCCCTGCCATTTCGGGTGCACGCACCAGCTCGCCAAGGACAGCATTCAGCACTACATGGTATGCGAGCGCAGGTGGCACCAGCTGAGCCTGCCCCGCGGCCAGCTGAGCGCCAACCTCCTCACGCGCATGGCGCTCCCTGAGCTCTCGGACCCGTTCGACGGCGAGAACGGCATCCCGAACTCCGCCACGCGCCTCGCCGTTGCGACGCGGGCGTACCACCTCACCAAGGACTACCCCCTCCCGATGACGTACCACAACCAGAACACGGCCTTTGCTGCCGCTCGCCGCGCCCTCCAGCTTCCTGCTGACTTGAGTGGAGGTGCGGGCGCGCCGCGGCGAGGCTAAGCGCGGACGAACCTGCCTTCAAGGTTACGTTCGCTCCTCCTCCTCCTCCTCCTCCTCCTCCTCCTCCTCCTCCTCCTCCTCCTCCCCCTCCTCTCCCGTTTCTTATCGCCCCCTCGCTCCCCCCTGCCCCCTGCCCGGCTTGCCGAGGCATCCCCGCGGGACTCCGGAACGACATCCGGGGCAGAGGATCGGCAACGCGTAATAAAAGTGACCCTTCACCGGGATGGCCTCTGGTGCGGGGGTGGACAGACCTCCTACCCTGACACGTCCATTAAGGAATTGGCCGTTTTCGGTTCGCGGGAAGGCGTCGCGGCCGTCATTGTTGCGGGTCCAGGTCCGTCGGTTTCGGTCCCAGGCCGTTTTCGCTAAAGGGAGGTTTACTAAAGGGAGGTTTGTCCACCGCCGACTGGTGCGGGCCGATCGCTGAACGCGATGCGATACAGGCGGGGCGCTGAAGAAGGAGCCCTTTTCGTTTGGGAGGGGCTCCGTGTTCCTTCAGTTGTTTTGCAGTCTGCCCCAGGTTTTCTTTGGGCGTTCGATGGGGTTTCGAAGTTTTGTACTTCTGGAAGAGGGGCCTCGTTCCATGTTTGGGGCTCCTTAGGTCACCACCCCGACTGTAGCAGCGCCTTGCGCGCTTGGGCTTGGCCCCCCTGCAGGCCGCGTGCCAGGGGTCGCTTTGGCCTAGGGTCACTCCTTCCGCGTGGCCGAGAGGAGTCCGCCGCCGAGGTGACGGACGAGGACGCGGCGGCCGCCAGCGCCGGCGACGCCGCAGAGCGGCTGGGGAGGTATACGTGGTTCATTTCTAAGTATTCGCAAGTTTTTTGATTTTGCGGGGGGCCAAGATCCTTTCATTTCTAATTGTTCTATCCTGGGCCTCTTCCTGGCCACTAGGGGGCCAGGAACAATTAGAAACGAACACAATTAGGAATGAATACGATTAGAAATGAGCGACGTGTATGTCGCCATTCCCGTCCCCTTGGGGCGCTGTTTCCAGGCCCCGGGGCCAACGGGAGTCGAGCTGGCGTGGGAGATTGGCCATGGTGGACCCCAGAAAGTGTGCAGGGACCGATTTTCAGCGGAAGTTGTCGTCGTTGTCCGCGTCGTCGTCGCTGTGGGAAGGTGGAGCAGGAAGGACGGGGGCGGAGGAGGAGAAGGGTTGATGAGCAGGGACGAGAAGGACGAGAAACAGGATGAGGAACTGGAGGGGATGGAGTTTGGGGTTTTATGGAGTCTGAGGGGGAGAAGGGATGATCCACATGAGGAGGACGAAGGGCAGGAGGAGGCAGGAAGAGTAAGAAGAACAATCTGAGACTGGATTCGGGTAGCGAGAAAGAGCAGGAGGAGAAGTAGGATGGGACTGCCCAGTATACATTTTACAATGATGTACGAGATGTGGTCGCACTTGTTGTGCTCGTACAAGTAGAAGCATGAGTGGAAGTAGATGTGACAATAGTTTTCGCAGTCCGAAGACTAGTTGTTGTTGTCCCAGTCGTAGACACAAGTAGTCTGTGCCATAGTACTGGTAGTGGTAGTGGTAGTGGTAGTGGCAGTGGTAGTGGTAGTGGTAGTGGTGGTGGTACGACCCCGCTGGATTAAAAAGTGGAGACCGCGGGGGTCGAGGAATACGCGGTTGGCCTCCCGTTAGGCCACGGGGCCCCGGGACAATGGTGGACCCAGGGCCGAGTCGGGAATTTCAGATGCATCTCTCACTCCTTTTTAATATTATAACGGCCAAATGGGGTCAGCGTCTGAAAATGTGATTCCGCCTGAGATTTCCGCCAAAAAGAATCAGATCGCCTTCCAGGGGGATCTGAAAATTTGCCGCGGCATCTG